ATCCTTGTACTTGTCGTCCATCGGTCCGTCTGCGCATCCATCCGTCCATGCATCCTTCCAACCTTCCGTCCATCACCCATCCCTCCTAGCCACCCGTCCATCCTCCAACCCAATCCATCCCTCCATCCCTCCATACTTCCGTCCATCCTTCCAGCCGTACGTCCATCCTTTCATCCTTTCATCCTTTCTCCGTTCATTTGTCCATCCCTCCATCCATGATCCATCCCTCCATCCGCCCAGCCGTCCTTCCGTCCTTCTGTCCTTCCGTCCATCTGTCCATCCCTCAATTCCTCCATCCATTTATCCCTTCATCCGTCCATCTCTCCATCCCTCCGTCCGTCCGTCCATCCCTTTACCCTTGCATCCCTCCATCCTTTTTGTCCATCCATCCTTCCATCCATTCTTCCACCCCTTCATCCAGATCCATGATCCATCCCTCAATCCCTCCATCCCTTCATCCGTCCATCCCTCTATCCCTCCATCCGTCCGTCCATCCATCCTTTCATCCTTCCGCCCTTCTTTCCAGCCATCCTGCCATCCCTTCCATCCCTTCATCATCTTATCCTTTCATCCTTTCGTCCATGATCCCTCGCTCCATCCGCCCATCCGTCCATCCCTTCATCCCTTCATCCCTCCATCTGTTCATCCCTCCATCGCTCCATACATCCCTCCATTCGTCCATCCCTTCATCCCTCCATCCCTCCGTACGTCCCTCCATGCTTTCTTCTTTCCGTCAGGATGGCCGGATTCATCTTGGATCCGTGAAGGGCAACGTGGGGCATCTCAACACTGCGGCAGGCAGGGCTCCCAGTACCGGAGCGGAAGCGGAGGGGCTGCTACCTTCCCCTGTAGTCCTTAAAGAGGACATTTGAGGCGTCGCCAGTTGACTGAGGTGGTGTCCTTTGAAAACCACCTTTTTGGAGGGTAATTCGGATGTATATGCCCCTTTTAGATTCGGGTTAGGTTGCCATGTCAATTTGCAAGTGCCGTTTCTACAGAATCAAATATCACTGGGCCTGCTCAAGTAAAAGCTCAGATGTTTTGTTTTCGGTCCTTTGTTGCTGTTCTTGTGTTGGTTTTTTCGTTCTCGGTTTGTTCTCGAGCAGTAAGAGCAGTGCTTCTCCCAAAATAATTATCCTATGGTCGTTGATTTCCACAAAAGGGGAGTGTTCTTGTTTAAGTATACACTGGAGTAGTTCAAGAACGGAACAAAGACCTGTAAGCTCACAATTTGCGGCACAGCCCTTTTTGGCAAGCGTCGCAGCGTCAGAAGCTTTTGCCAAGCGTCGTGTTGTGGACACCATGTGACCCTTTGGAGTTTCTCAACTGTTTGCGGTGCTCGCCGGAAGAAATTCAGCATGCGCATGAGCGAAGCTGCAGACGCCGGATTTCTTGCCGCTGACAAGAACAACCCAACATGTGATCACCAACGCATCTAGACTGGCTGCTCTTTTACCCTACAATTTAGCTGTGTGTCTGTTCAGAACGCAAGCCAAAATTGAATTGGCAAATGCCAAAAAGCGCTTTGAGCAATTCCATATAGATTCCTTACTCGGCAGATTCCGCTTTTTGGCCCGGCAAAGCGGGGGATTTCATCTGGACGAGGACCGTAGTGCATACCTCCCCATTGAGACCCCGAGCGACTCGCTGGGACCCAATTAAGAAATATGAATCCATTGCTCTTCCAAAACAAACTCCGGTAGAGTTTCCCTACCTCCCACTAACACGGCACCTGACAGGGGGTCCCTGCAAGAGGCATTTCATCTTTCAGGTACCCTCCCGCAAATGCTACGTTTGTGGGAAAGCGAGTACATGTTTGTTTGTTTTCTTCCAGACAAACTTGCGCTCAGCCTGAGGTGTTCCAGGTGTGCTGAAGTCCGGATCTGAGAGTCGGAAGAAAGGGATTGGGTCCAACCAGACATTTCCGGGGCGTTTATCATTTTTGGGAGGGCCCATGTGAGTTTATTTGTGTAGACATAGGCAGGTTGTTCCCCCAGCCCTTGCGCCATGTTTGTTTTCCGGAGCAAGGTTGCATGAGCATGGTTGTTTTTTCCTTTCGGTGGAGAGGAAGGGAGGTAGTGTCCACAACCCATGCGGATGGAGGCCCGTTGTAAACAGAACAAGGGCCAGGGGTGGTGGTTGCAAACATTATCTTGTTTGGGCCATCAAAGCGAGATTCCCTTCAAGTTGGGTGACGTTTGACGGCAGACATGGAGCACCTTGAAGGGCTTGGGGCTACAGGTGACTCAGGTAATCCCTAGTTGGTGGTTTGGGTTGTTCGTTGGGAAAATAAAAACACCCCGGAACATCTTCACACTACCCATCGAGATCAGCAAACGGAGAGAGGATGAATGCTGAAAGTCGCCCCAATTGACGCCGTGTCCATGCCATGGGGGGGAAGCTTTCAGGGCAGTCGCCGATATGCAGGACTGGTTGGCCTAGTTGTACATTGTGCAAAGCCCATGCAGGCAATTGTTCCAAAAGTTTGCCTCTTTGTTGCATTCCATGCCCTGCGTTTTGTTTGGAAGAGACAGGGGCCTAACGCTTGGGGATTCGGACGAAGTTTGTGGCGGCGGTGGTGCTTGTGCTGGCGCTCTTGTGCTGGCGCTCTTGTGCTGGCGCTCTTGTGCTGGCGCTCTTGTGCTGGCGCTCTTGTTCTGCTGCTGCTGTTCTGCTACTGCTGCTACTCGTTCTGTTTCTGTGTCGGTGACTGCGCATTCGCTAACATTTGTTCCGGAAGCGTCAATCCTCCTCGGATCTCGTTGTTTGTGATTTAATCTCGCAGTGTTTTGGTGTTGAAATTCCGCTCTAATCTCGTTCCGGCCCGGGAATCGGTTCCCCAACCCTCAAGGACAAACAGATTTGAAGCTTCTGGCTATTCGGCTCTATCCAAGACTGGATACGACTTCAAGTGGTGCATTGGGTGCATTGAGGTTGAAGCAGCTGAATGGTGTCTCATAACTGCCCAATGTGGTTGGCACAACGTCTCGGCACCATGGACCATTCATTTTGTTCAGCAGCACCGTTTGAAGGACTTTCTGTTTGGCGGGGTGCCCGCAAACAAATCAAGGCCCTTCTTTCTCTACCAACGTCACTTGGCAATCGGGCCATGCAAGCACTTGTGTTAGGTAGTTTTGCTTGTGTTAAGTCGTCCGGATTGGCTGTATTCGTACCCAATCCTGCTGCTGCTGCTGCTGCTGCTGCTGCTGCTGCTGCTGCTGCTGCTGCTGCTGCTGCTGCCACTTTTCTCCAGATGCTGTTCAATACATGAAACTCTTTGTCCATGCGGTTCGCTTGGATCACCAGCGGGTGTCCCAATTGGATTTGCTTCCAATCAAAGTGACTTCACGCGAGCGCGGGTGACTTCTTGAGGCTATCCGGGCGCACTGCCGGGCCCGGTTATGTTGAAACAACCAAAGGATCGCTTGAAGGAACAACTGTTGGCGCTTGCATTTGTTCGCGTTGGTTGTTTGGTGACCGAGTAACTCAGACTGATTTTGGATTGCCCAAAGAACGAAACATATGTGCTGAAGTGGCTGAATCAGGTTTACTTGGTCAGCCCAAACCCTCTCCTCACGTTGCCCTCAACCTAGAGGATGCTGAAATGGGCCGAACATGCTCGCTTGGTTAGCCCAACGCCCTTCCATGTTGCCCTCAACCAAGAGAGGATGCTGCAAAGGCTGAAACATGTTCATTTGGGGGCTCTTTATCTTTTGTTGTCCAGGGTGATTGTCCTTTTCACCCTGGTTTACAGGGAAGCCAAGAGGAAAGCTGAAGCCATTTTTGGGACCACACGCTTTGAAGACCTCTTTTCGCGTGACCGCGCTGAGGGCGTTGCTGGTGCTGAAGCATCAGACCATGGTGCCATCCCTCCATGCTGTGCGGCCAAGCACAGCGGTGGACTGGACCAGGCGGGTTCCGAAGCGTTTCAGGGAGGGAACCCATTGACGGAGACGCGACAAGTCTTCTCACCTAGAAATTCAAATTCAACGTATCCGCACCTAACAAGCTAAAAATAAAAATTGACATTGACATTGACGTCTTCTTTGTTTTTCTGTTTTTTTTTTTTCTCCCCGGGGCCTTTTTCAAGCTAGCTTATCCGGACTTCACAATTCAGACATTAGAGGCGGTCGGGCTTCAAGAACTGCGTGTCAGCGTGTGAGGTTGACATTGACGTTGGGTTTTTTGTTTTTTTTTTTCTTCGGGGCCTCTATAGGCTGATAGAAGGGTAGTGAGCGAGTGAAAGCCAGTCGTCAGTGAGTCAGTGAGCCAGTGAGTCAGTGAGTCAGCCCGGGCGGACGTGCGGGCGTTTGTGGGTGGGTGAGTGGGTGGGTGGGTGGGTGGGTGGGTGGGTGGGTGGGTGGGTGGGTGGGTGGGTGAGCTTTCAGGAAATAGGGAGTAGACATCATGTGGGGACGCAAAGCATATTTTCACTGGTTCATGTGGGAGTTGTTAAAAAACTAGATATGGTGAATCGATTTCGCCATGATGCATACGTGGATTGCCTTCACAATAGTATTCCGGTTTTGCGTGAGTAAGTTTCATCATCCAAGCGAGACACACATCCAAGGCGGTCTCGCTACCGCACTCAACCTAGTCTGGGAGAATGTTCACCGTTCAGCCAACCCAACCCAACCCAACCCAACCCAACCCAGCCGAACCCAACCAACCAGCCAGCCAACCAACCAACCAGCCAACCAACTAACAGCTGCTGCCAGCCCTACGCAACATCCATAGGGGGAAAAACACACTTATCCTGGTCAGCATGAAAGCTGGACATGGACCTCTGGTTTTGGTCCTTTCCATGTCGAATTTCATTTCAGGTGATCACGGACCCACGAGTTCCGATGTTTCAGGACGTCCTTGAGCCTTGCGGCGATCAGCGAACCCTGGAAAGGCGGGAGCGGCTTGCGGCAAACGGGGGCCGGCTGAAATGTCCAGCCGAAAGCGTGAGGATGTTTTTGCGAAATGGACTTGTCGTTGATTGAAATTTGGGGGGC